ACAGCAAAGAAAAAAGGCACTCAAGATGTTGAAACTGAAACCCAGAAAGACCAACAGGCTGTGGAAAGAGAAAAGGTCCTGCAAGATCTTCAGAAGGACGTCATGGATTCCATATCCATCTGTCATCCAATCATGCACGGTAATTGTAACCTCTGTGATTATGCCTCCTTCTCCTTCAAGATATCTGTTCACCCCTTCAGCTTGACATCTCCAATATTAAAGTAAAGTGCAAGAGACCGTATATTATGCTAGTTGAATCTTTGGTGGAGAACTGTTCCTGTAAATCCTAACTCTTGTTTTATTTGCACATAATTATTTTGATGGTATTACAATGCAAAGAATATTAAGGTGCTGCGTTTACGTGGAATAGTTTAGCCTGTAAAAACAAATATTTGTGTCCTTTTCTGTCTTTTTCTCTGCAGATATGTGTCGTATAGCATTTACGTTATTCAGGTATAAAAGGTCATCCAGAATGAATGTTTCGTTCTGAAATGAAAACTTCAATAAACTTATTCAGAAATTACTCATTTCAAATAAATTTTACCCTGGTATCATGTGGCAACCAGGATGAACTCATTCTTGAACAAAACTCATTCCGATATCATGTAACATTTTATTCCCAGAGCATCATGCTTTGCTCTCCTGTCTGTATACTATAAATTTCAATAGCGTTGACACAAGGACCTGCTTTTAACTGCTTCGCTGCCACTGAAGCAATGATTTATGACCACAAAAAGCACACATTGTAATATTTTCAATTCAACATAAACAAAAATCTTTATACAGGGTAAGTATTCATTTGTGTCGGTATCAATTATTGCGTGACAAGCTTATAATATAAATGGGGAAGGGGAGAACACAATGCAAAACCTGGGCTTCTGCTGGAAAATAGTAATACCCAGACGTAATATAATAATCGAAAGAGCTAATAAAATCATAATTAAACAAGGTAAATGTTATGTTAGATTCTTTTACAAATTGTCGTGATTTATGCCAGTAGACAGTGGTGACAAGTAGGCACACCATGTTTATTTCATTTGTATCTTAAAAGCTAGAAGCTCAGTAGATTCTGTCCTATTGGTCATTGTTAAAACTGTCTTTGTCTTGATTCTACTTTTCGACATAGGAAAAGTAAGTCAGACAAAAATATTCACCAAAAAATAAATATTTCTTTGCCAGCTTTAACAATGACAGGAGATTAAGTTTAGATGATAAAACAAAGGATTATGTTGACAGAAATACCAGAGGTCGAGTGTATTCATTACACGAGGTCACACAGCTCGGGTAATATTCACGGTGAAAATTTGCATAATTGAGTGGTCAAGCAAAAAAATCATTTCTCGAAAACTAAACAATATTTTCACAAAAAAACTACACCAAAATTATTAGGACATATTGGGCTACAAAATATGAAAGTAGGAGAGAAACCGAATTTTGGGCAACTTGCCACTATATTTCAAATTTGTTCGATGGATCCTGACATCCTCTCTTAAATAGTTTCTGATTAACTTTGAATAGACAGTAACTAATTTTTTTTGGTAATTCTATAACTCATTTCTCAACCCCTCTCTCATAGCTGACTTCTTTCTCTCATTTTTCTGTTAACTGCCAACCCTTTGTGTTGATGTATGATGATTTAGCTTGTATCAGGTCATGATCAGCTCCTAGTCTCTGGATAGGATAAAATTAGGCAACTGAAATGTGGCAGGAATTTAAGATGGAAAAGTGCCCAAATCTCCATCTAATTAAAGCTCACAATAATTTTGAAATATTTAATTTGTATGTTGTACTTTTGACCTTTTTTACTCTTTTTAAAGTATGTACAAGCTCAACTACATGTTTTGCACTACACACAGGTGGCTTTTCATCAACAGTTGTGATAGGGCTACCTACTTAATTTGATGAATCTCTTCCCCTTTGAAAAAAGAACAAAGGAACCATAACTCTTTGTTGGTGCTGGTTTAAATGGCATTTAGAGATCATATTTTATTTCTATAACATAAATAGGAACATATCACATGTAAATTTTATCACCTCTTGAAGACTGTTTTCACTTTAGTTAAGAAATAATAAACCAACACAGACATTTTTTTGGAACGGTGAACTTCTTTTTCATATGCCCATCAAACAGACAAGCAAATTTAACAAATGAGGACTGCATTTCTGCTTCATTCTGTGTTTGTAGCATGTGCTTAGAACTAACTCTTTGGACATAGTTTGATGCTACACTAGTTTATGGATTTAAAGAATGTAACCAGGGAATTACAATTCATTGACCCAATGTTTCCACACTCTTGTCTAGTGCCTTCATCAGGGATGATCCAATCATTGCAATGAGAGGTCCTTTTATATGCTTACTGATTAGCTGCCCGCCTTTTTTCTAACAAGGTTTAAATAGGTGTCCGGTAGTAAGCTGCCGTCATCACATTAAAAGGAGCTTGGACTTAGTTGATACACCAGGCTTCCAAACAAAGGCACTGGTATCAGTTAGTGGCAATAATTTTAGAATTATCCCTCCCTATTGTATGGTTAGGTAGGCATGTGTGCTCCAACAAAGCTGAATTTTCTTTTTTGTAGAAGAAGACTTACATATGATGCACGATCCTCGCAATAGATAGCGCTATTTAAGCAATAGCGAAAATCAGACCTGAAAAAAATCAGGCCTGTATGGGATTCGAACCACTGACCTCTGCGATACTAGTGCAGCGCTCTACCAATTGAGCTAACAAGCCAACTGGGAGCAGGCCGTTAAGTTGATTCGTAATAAACCCATGAAAGTGATAAATGAGATACAATGAACTATATGAAGTTCATATATTTTGTACTGTGGTATTAGATACCTATGATGCACGATCCTCGCAGTAGATAGCGCTATTTAAGCAATAGTGAAAATCAGACCTGAAAAAAATCAGGCCTGTACGGGATTCGAACCACTGACCTCTGCGATACTAGTGCAGCGCTCTACCAATTGAGCTAACAAGCCAACTGGGAGCAGGCCGTTAAGTTGATTCGATCCTTCGCAGTAGATAGCGCTATTTATGCAATAGCGAAAATCAGACCTGAAAAAATCAGTGTAAAAATACATGCTGAGATATTTAAAGGGGATCGAATGAATGTAGTATTACTTACGCATTNATTTATCACTTTCACGGGTTTATTACGAATCAACTTAACGGCCTGCTCCCAGTTGGCTTGTTAGCTCAATTGGTAGAGCGCTGCACTAGTATCGCAGAGGTCAGTGGTTCGAATCCCGTACAGGCCTGATTTTTTTCAGGTCTGATTTTCACTATTGCTTAAATAGCACTATCTACTGCGAGGATCGTGCATCATATGTATCTAATACCACAGTACAAAATATATGAACTTCATATATTTCATTGTATCTCAGAAGAAGACTTCTTTCAAACATGTATCAAACTGACGTTTGATCAGTCCAAAATACTCATGATCACAGTCATCGCACACAATAGAATAAATAGCATTGGCTCATTGTTCTTTTGTGACAGTATCCTTAGGTTTGGCAAAAATGTGCCCTATCATAAGTCCAAAAAGGCTTTTTAGCAACTTTAAGGTTGTGGCTATTCAAAATTCTCCTGATGTGTTCCTTAACACCTTGGATTTAAGGAATAACAGCTAAACCAGTTGCTGGTTCCTTCTTATAGGGTGGTGAGAGTCAAAAGTGAGTTTTTTGTCTGTGTGGGTTGGTTAACAATAGACACTTGTCTCTAAATTCTCCTGCTCTGCTCTGCTCTGCTCTGCATTGGTGGAATATAGGGCTTTAGCCACTTCACAAATGATATGCCAATGATGTCATTTCAGCTGTATCCCGAAATGAAGTGGGACACCTCCTATCACATTGAATTCAGTGGAGTCATCTATCTAGCTCACCCTTGAGACTGAAGTGATGAGTTAACAGAGAGTTATTTTTTTATAAAAACCAGAATACTTATTTGATAAATGACCAAGACAGCAAGATGACTAAGTAGCTAAAGCAATCAAGTGGCTAAAAACTGTGAACTAAAATAAGAATACAATTAATTCCTATTAATTGAGGTGAAAACTTCCAAAATATAAGATAAAAGCATGTAAGACAAATATAACTTAACTGAAACTCAAATTGTGATAAAAACATAAAGGCAAAACTAAAAAAACTAGGTTGACAGATCCACGCAAACAGAGGTTCTTAGGTTTTGTATGCCTTAAGTTTTATTTCTTTGTGGCAACCTTTATTTGTTTGAAGCAAGAACATTCATTTGTATGCAGCAGCTTTTATTAATTTGCCATAATGTTTGCGTTTATTTGTCTGAGCTTTTACTAATTTACAGCATTTATTAATTGGATTTAATGTTTTATTCTTTGTGCATCAAATATATTTTTTTACTTCTATATATCTTTGTTTGCACCAATATACATTTGTTTGCTGCTGTCCCCTGTGGACCACTGTAAATTACTTATACTTAACACCAAAACTTTCCATTTAAGCCTAATTGATCAGTGATTATGACACGAACTCTTAATTTAAGAGCATTGTATAGATTGTCAAAGAAAATTCATGTCATTGATATGCGACATACTGACGCCCCTCATTAATGGATGTGTTTTCTGTAGGCAGCTTAACATTTATGAAGATGTCTGTCTGATGTGAATAATTTCAGGTTAATTTCTCTGCTTCCTGTGTGTTATGGGAAGATCATGGCTTAGCATGCTGTGGACAAGGGAGTCCATAGCAGTTATATAATTATACATATGAAAAAAAATCACCTTTTCTTGTCTGGTAAGGCACTTGAAGTTACTAATCCTTTTTATTACATGCAGCTTGTGTTGACTTTTGTAGTGGCCATTAAATAGGCCCTTTACTAATACAAGTGACTTGATTAAGAAATGTATGTGTATGTCCATCAAAGGAAAAAATATTAATTATATTAAAGCACCCAACTGACTGATATTGCACCAGGAATTGAATTGTTTTCCAACCTGCTCTTTGATTTATATTACAATAGCTCCTTTGGAAGAAGGAGAGACATGAGAAGAATCTTAAGCAGAAGCAGAGCTTTGTTGATCTTGGATGTGGAAATGGATTCCTGGTTCACATTCTCAGCAAAGAAGGGGTATGTGATTTTTATTTATTGTAAAATTTCATCATAAAGCCTTTTCTGATGATTAAGCAAAGACCCTATGGAATATGTGAGTAAGCAAAATCTTGTCATTAATGGAATTTCTGGAAATGGTTTCTCTGGAAATACATGAAGAAATTACTTAAACAATAATAACTTACAGTGATAACAAACAAGGTAAATGAACCCAGTATATCATAATCTCACAGCACATGGGCGAAAAGGCCCCTTGAAATAATGCTGGCAGGAAAGATGGTATTCCCACAGCACCATTGTCTTTGCTACTCAGTAGTCCTCATTGTCACTGCACAGTAGTTCTAACCCTTTATTGGGATCTTTGGGATCTTTCTAACCTTCTACATGGCATTCTTGATTACTTTGTACTGCCTCCTTCCATCTGTGCTGCCTTTTGTGATCAAAAAGCTCTCTTAGCTTGTCATATTAGTCAATAATTCAGTTTTTTCCAAATACATGTTTCTCTACCGCATCTCTTCTGTTGCTGTTTAGAGATACTTTACCACTGCATATCATAGGACAGCTGCTATAGTGAGATATTGAACTCCCTTAATCGGTCGTTGTATTGTACGTCTCAAATTGACTTTGTTCATGTAATAAATCAGCTTCATTTTTATCTTTTGAAATGACTGGACTCCCAATTTTGAATTCTCCTCTCACGACCTACATTCAGACTGTCAAAACTGGTTTGATGCATATTTTGTAACCTTTTTGAACTAAACAGACTAGATGATTCAAGTTTTTAAATTTCTTTCAAAATCCACCTTAGACTGGTAGGTTTTAAAATGTGCTTGTTTAAATTATTGGTTTAATTGAGCATTTTTATATATTTCAGCATCCAGGAAGTGGTATTGATTTGCGTCGACGTAAAATTTGGGATCTGTATGGTGGAGATACCTCACTCCAGGTTTTTTATCAAATTCATTTACATCATTGATAAACATGTTTATACCGTATGTGTAGAGGTGAGGTGGTGAGTCAATGCCTTTTTATTTCGAGAGTGAGAAGAGTTCTTTTTTCCTTTTTCTAAATAAAGAGGTTGGCATTTCTTTTTGTCCAGTGGAGAGTGAGGATAAATGTGACAGTGGCAATTACTTGATTTGATTTGCCATAAGAAAAACATTGCTTGGAGCCAACTTACAAAGTAATAATTTTTGGACAATGTCGATGATGTAATCACAAAAAACAGCAGTAAACATTCAAAACAAAAGAAAATATAAACAACTCTCGTGGGTTTACTGTGCTTCAAACACAGTTGGTTTTATCCCCGGCTTTCAAAAGAAAGAAGTCATTCTTGATTCTAATTCTATAACTGGTAGTTAATCCGAAATTGTCGACAAAGCTATTATTCTTTAATTTTCTAAAACTGTCCATTCATTTGGACAGTTTGAAACTATCAAAATGAATCCTTAATTAGACAAATTCAAAAAATTAAAGAATAATAGCTTGATTGGGCAATACTCAATTACAACTGACTAGCTATATATTTAATAAGTAAGAGGGCTACATGCTTGTCCAACTTTGGAAATAACTGGATTAAAAAACTCCCTCTTACAGCCAAATTTAGCTGTCTTCATGTAATCCTATATTACATGACTTAGAACCACCAGAAAAGTAAACAAGTTGCCACACACGAAAACCACGCTTCTAGCTTGTAACAAAACACAAAATATACCTGGAAACGGCAAGGAATATTCCACAATAATGCAAATGATCGCGAAGGATGATCGCGGAAAAGCGATTGCATTTAGCACTTCACCTATAGTTACAGCTTTAGTCTTTCAAGAACTTTCACTCGGTTACACAAGTGCTGACTGCGACGAGTATCAATCGAAACTCCCTCGAAGAAAGGTCGAGTTACATTTTAACGTAGCAACAGTACTTCGGAAAGTCGATAGAGGCGTTTCGGTATAATTTCGGTAGGTCGATATCAGTTGGTCTGGCGTTAACATATCGATTCTTGCACCCCCGAGGGAGTGACAAATTTGCATATTCTTTCCCCTCGCAATAGTCGTTCCATGCCTCGCGTCCCACGACTTAAAAAGGAGCATGGGTGGCAGCTCAAGAAGTAAAGAAGTTCTATATACTCGGAATGGCGACAGAATCTCGCCCAAGTGGATAAAGGTCGGCACACACGAGGGGACTAGTCCCTGCGACTAGTCCCAGCGACCAGTTTCATGCGACTAGTCCCTTCGTGTGAACTACACATTTCTGTGGTCGCAGGAACCAAAATTTGGTCTCTGCGACTGGTCGCATGAAACAAATGTTTGTCTCCTCGTGTGAACTGTTTGTGCGACCAGTACCTGCGACTAAACGGTAAATAAGCCAATCACGTGTCAGTATGATGCGTGACTTCCGGTATTTGTAAACATTGCAGTTTCTAATGATGAATTTTCCCTGACCTCTAGATTTCTACAACTGAAGAATAAAAAACTATCTCTAGTTTTGTAAACATATACAGATGTCTTGGAGCCGTTTTGATGGAATTTTTACCCTATTTGACTGTGTCTGTTAAAAATAAAATAAAAAAAACTAAAACGGAACACGTAAAAGCATGAATAATCCGACTGAATAAGCGTAGTTCGTTTGCGCTGATGTTTAATAGTGCTACAATGAAAAGTTACCAAATTTTAATTGTTTCGTGTAAGGCCCCAGACTAAGAAACGTCTTTTGCCTCTTAATTTTCCTATGTTCTTGTGCAATTGAGTGCCCTCGTGTGAACACCTTAAGGGACTAGTCCCTGCTACCGGTCCCCTCGTGTAAACGCTTCAAAGACTTGTCGCCGGGACTAGTCGCACGGACTAGTCGCAGGGACTAGTCCCCTTGTGTGTGCCGATCTTAAAGGCTCGTGGTTTAGGCAATCTTCGGTTCTCGCACTTCCCTCATCTTTTGAGTGAGCGAAGAATGATTTAAATGAAAATCAACGAACGGTGCTGCTACCTTTGTCTTTAGGGGTGGTTAAACATGGTCTAAACACGCTTATGGACGATTAGTGTTTAAATAATCGGTTTCCACAGTTTAAACATGGGACAGACGGTGGCTTCCATAAACGCTGTTCAAACTTCGTTTAAGTAATGGGCCCTTAATCTTTTTACCGAATGTGATTTAATTTTTTTCATAAAATAATTTGAATTGGCTGTGATCCAAATTGTAATCTTAGCATCTAACCAGCATTGTTCCATCTAAAGGAAAAGGCAGTGAATCCTACTTTACCTAGTCTGTTTCCAGATGTTGACTGGCTCATTGGCAATCACTCTGATGAACTTACTCCCTGGATACCTGTAATGGCTGCTAGGTGGGTTTATCCCGTGACTATCAAAGGGATTTTTTGTTCAGTACATTTAAGTGTTGAGGCTTTTATTAAAAGTTATAAGTATTATCATTTGTTGTCTCACTGATGACGCAGTCTTCATGAAATAAAAGGATGAATCATCTTCAAATATTCGGAAAAAGGCACCATTTTTCACAATTTGGAAGTCATCTCTAACTTGTAACCTGATGATGAGGTATTGATATCACATTAGACTAAAGGTAACTACCCTCCACTAGAGATTTTTCTTACCAGATTTACTGCAGGTGTTGACTGAATTGTCACATTACCTAGTCCCATACAAAAAAGCCGTTAAACTACAGATTTTGGCTCGTTGTCACAGTCTTTCTAAGCTTTCCTCGTGTTTCCTCCCGTGTGGCTTTATCACGTTATAGAGCCCTGGAAAATGCGCTCTAATACTTAATTGTGGGCATTTGCATTTTAGCGCGAAGTTCCAGTCCAGTTTAGCTGCGAGTTTCAAAACTTTCAAAACGATTTTTCCATTCTGTCCTGTTATAATAGGCCTTTTGGAACATAGAATGATTTCACCTTGATTTTGTATTGTGTATTTTTGTATTTTGTATTGTGCACACCTCACAGTTGTAATAAAAATATTTTCGTGTACAAGTTGCGTCATGCTTTTCGCTGTGCGAAAGAAGCAAGATAACTCAGGGCTGCTTCATGGAACTCTTACGTTTCTCTCGTGCTTTCCAAACTTTCTGTGTGCACCAAAGACCGATTGCAAACCTCGGTGAATGCACGCTAAGCATAAATCAATTGGTAAATATTTCTATCGTTTGTCGTACATTTCAACACTGTTATCACAATCGCAGTCCGTAAGGTTACCAGTCATCGCTATACTCAGTCCTTGTAATGCTGGTGCCATTCAATCTTTCAGATTTGTGGGCCACAGACACACCATCATTTGCCACATTAAAACCATACCTTATACTGTTTCCCGTGTCCATCAGACATCAGGTCTCATCAGATCTTAATATTTTACTATTTTGTAAATAAAACCTTTTTTTAATCGCTTCGTAGATCGTCGACCATGGCTCAATATTTCGTGTTACCATGTTGCTTGTTTGACTTTAACTGTAAGGTGAGTAATGATCCCCGTTCCGAACAGGAACGTGGCCTGTTCTGAAACCGCCAAATTTTGAGTACAAGTCAGATGTCTCTTTCAGTCATGTTATTTAATTTTCTCTTTCACTGCTCTTCCTTTTTTGTCCAATGTATACTTTGCCATATTCCTACGTGATTTTATAAACAACGCCTTTCGCAAACTCAATGAGATCTGAGATGGTGAGCACGCCTTGTTGTAGGCAGCGGCAAAGGACCACTGAGACACCTTTAATAATGTAGGGTAGAACCGCAGTAGATTTGAAATAATGAGTAGTGTCTTCATTGGCTGTTGATCCTTTCGTCTTCATAATCTTTCCTACAAGTAATAGTGGATATCTGTTAGAAACAAGAGCCGATGATCGGTGTTTCTTTTCTCGAGGCGTATTTGGTTTTGCTATGACGTGTTGGCCCTGTCGTGGTTAAGGCGATACCGGAGGCTAACTTAACCTGTTCAAGGTGCTTTTAATTTCTCTTATATTAAAAATCATTGTTTGAGTAGCCTATTTGCAATCTTCTGCGATTGGAAAACGTGCCGTTTTCGAAATAAATGCGATAGAAGTTTCGAGGGACGTATCCAGCCTCAACATAGACAGACAATCTTGGTGTAATGATGTTTGTGGTATTTCGATCACATTTTTGACACATCTATTTCATAAGAGACCATTCGATAATTTCTTGGTTTTCACTTGACGTCATCCAAATTATAAAGTGAGGAATTACCACTTTGATGGGGTGTTTGGTCTTGTGATAAAGCGTGGTTGAATTTCTAAGCTTTTCCGTGACACGATGTAAAAATGGCAGCCGAGAATTCTGTCACGTAGATTAAAAAAAGTGACTTGTTCGGTGAGATTTCACAATCTGAACAGTCCTTGTATGAGGATAAGTACTCATAAAGATGTTTATGAGCCCTCAGAAGACGACTACAGGCTTTTTATTGTAAAACTCAATGACAAATGTTTTTGTTAGCTTCCGGCCGCCAAATTTGTGTCCCTCGCCACATTGCGTTCCCGTACAAAGCCTTTATATTTGAGAAAAACATTTCTTTGAATATCTCCCTTACGAAACATTGCACAAACCTGAATCTTTTCAAGACTGTTTGAATATTCATCTTCTTTTACCTCTTTGATTCTGGACTTTATTTGTTGGATGGTTTTGATGATGGTGTGACTGTGAAAACCGCCAATGAAGTCCGCTTCGGTCCGCCAAGGTATGAGATCGCAACTTATTTTTTTTTCAGTTTTATGGGGATAAAATTGTCAAAATTGAATACCATTTAAAGCGCTGCGCTGAAAATCGTTCTTACTTTCACATGCAAAACTAGTTTTGAGTGGCATTAAATTGACTAGCATTTGGACAAGTTATTCTTAAAAACATCCTTTAATAATTCCATGAAATTCTAACAATTCCATGGCACTGAGCAAAATAAATTGTTTCTTAGATTATGCGTAGAATCATATATCATATGTAAAAATTTAAAGTAATTCCAAAAAATCTGTCAATGAATATTTTTTAGTTAGTGTTGATTTGGGACAAAATTCACTGAATTTAGCTTCCAGTACCACCTTAATAATACTCTTTACATTGAGTGAGGGTGGTGTCAGTCATAAGCTAAGTATTACTCAGTGTGCGGGGGTTTTCTGTACACGATGAATACGCGATTGATGTGTCTAACTCTTACATCGGGTGACAAACCAGTAATTTTTCATTTATTCATGAAACCCCGATGAACAATTACACTCTATAACAACCTTTTATTTGCCCCGCACTTGTGTCAAGATGAATGAAAGCTTTCCTTATACTGCATTTTTACTCGGTTGAATAAAGAAATATGTTCAGCAGTTGACACAGATAACACAGACAATAGGTGTGCCCAAAGCATACAAGCTCAGCAGTTTCACTGACAGATGTTCTGGCACTTAGCCAAGAGGACTTGTTGGTGAGCCAGCCCCTTTACAATTGGCTCATGTGGGTCAAGTGACCTGCATAATGCAAGGATTGTCAATGGCAGAAGTATTCTTTGTTTAAAAGAATAAGAAAGATAGTAATTTGAGAGCTTGATTTTCGAATAAAGAATTATGTGATTTATATGTGTCACAAACAGGGAAAAAGGAAAAATGTGAGTCTGAGTGTCAGAGCGTGCGACCGGAGAGCTGATGTTTCAATCCTTGAAGAGACTTTTTATTGTCCCATATATGAAGATGAAATCGTTCTTCAAAACTAAGTGCAGTGGTAATTTGGTTATACCAACTAAGCAGGATAACCACAAATCAGAGTCAATGTGCCAGTTTTTCGAAAAACGTGGTTACCCTGTTTCTGTCGTTCAAGCGGGTCACCACCGCGCCCAACTTAGTGATCGACAGTCAGCACTACAAACGTCACTGAAGGAAAATTCCGACCACATTCCATTCACTCTCACGTTTCACCCTCGCAACCACTCAGTTAAAACCATTATTCTTAAAAACTTTAATTTACTTCAAAACGATCCAGAGACTGGCACTATCTTTTCACAACCTCCACTCATTTCATTCAAGCGCGACAAAAACACGGGCAAATTTTTGGTCAGAAGTTCATTCCAAACTAATGACCAATCCGGCACTTTTAAATGCGCTCGCGCACGATGCAAAACTTGTCCTTTCATTCACCATGCTGAGAAAATATCGGGACGCAAACGATCCATTAAGATCACTGATCACTTCACGTGCACCTCCGCCAACGTAATCTATTGCGTAACTTGCACTTACTGCAAAAAGATGGCTCATCCTCGGTGTAAAAACCTGTGAAGCTCACAAGTGACGTAAAACAAAGACAACAAAACATTAGAAACAATAGCGTGCAGCAAAACAATACCTCAGGAAACAAAGAAAACCTCGTCAGGTTTTTACACCGAGGACGACCCAAAAAGATATACAACGGCGAAACAGGAAGCAACTAGGTGACCGATTCCGAGCACACCTTCGCGACGTAGAAATGAATGACAAGGACGCATCAAAACCAGTCGCTAGACACTTTAATTTAATTACCTAATAATTCTAAGCAGCACATGACAACCTGCGGTCTTTTCTTACATTTAGGTAGCTCGGAAAGCCGGAAAGCCGCAAAACTCTTGAACAAAAGTTTTTCTTTCAAATCGACACTGTTAATCCCACAGTTATCAACGAACGCTTTTCATTCTACTAATTTATTCGTGTTTATCTTGTCACCATGTTCCCACCATTAGCGTAGCTCCGCTTTCTGCATATAAACCCACACAACCCACAATTCCTCCATTCGCTCTGACGAAGGGCTAACGCTCGAAACGTCAGCTTTTTAAGTCCGTACGGTGGCCAATTTACAATTTAAACTTAGTTGTTATAACCAAATTACCTTGTTACCCCCACCCACGCAGCACCACAGTTTCTTTAGAAACTTTCAGCCCTAACTGCAGTGGTAGCCTTAGGTAATGCTTAGGTTATCTGTTTTCATTTCAAACAGAATTTTGGACAAAGAATAAAGTTGTTCTCTTGTTCAAGCAATGTTTATGAAAATCAGTTGGAGAGGATGGGCGTAAAATCAGAGATGCTAGACCAACTTCACCTTTGAAATTCCACAGCCTATGAGTGCTTAAATGGGGTTATCATTTTTAACATTTAGGACACGTAACATAAATTTGAAATGATCATGGATTTTATTGCGATACTCAGTCATATGCCCTTATTTGAACAGAATTTTAAGTTTGCATATATAAAATTGTAAATTTTAAGATGAGGACGTCACGTTTGTCACTTTGTACTGTTTCATTTCAGGCCTGTCAAATTTTGCATTATTTTTACTTTTCCAACGACAAGAATAAACTCCACCATTTGATTATTTTTGTCGCGGAATCTATACGGATTCCGCAGTTGCTGGCTAACTCGATGGAAGAGGACTGTAAACTATCTTCTCTTCCAAGATTTATTCTCGACGAACACCGCCGACGTTCTAACAATTCCTTTTTAACAATTCTAACAATTTCAGCGTAACAGTTCAGACGATTCCATCAGTTCTCTCTTGTAACAGTTCTAACGTTCAAGCAAATCTAACTTAAACTACAATCTACCAGAGTTGTCATAGTTTGCCTTGCGTAACTATCAGCTAGCATTGTTCTTACAATCACGAGTACAGTGAAATCCCAGGCCAACCTATTGTAATATGTCTATGTTTAGTTCCTGTTACCCAATAGTAAGTTTCCCCTTCCTTATTTACGGGGACAAAAACGCGTGCAATTACGACATCTCTCTTACTGTGAATCAACAACAGACTGTGTTTACAATATTATGAAATCTGTCCCACTCTGTTATGCCATTATTTACAATTTGGTGACTTAAATAATATTAAGTGGGAAATTTAATCAATGACATAATTTGTAACTAATACTCGCTGGCGATTCTTTTGCAGTTTAACAGGAAAAATAGTAAGGTGACGCAGTATCGAGGTTACTTGGATTTTGTGTACGATGTGGGAGAAAAATGTGGTTTCCACGTAGAAGAAGATTCATTAAGGATTCCTTCTACCAAAAGGGTAATCATTACAGTTGTATAGTTACATGTTGAGATTTCCCTTTAGAGGTGTTATTAGGTAGATCAGCTATTAATCTGCTGAAGAATAAGTCAAAATATATACCCAAAACTTCTTAAACACAATCTCCGTGGGTAGCCATATTGTCGAGATTCTTTATTTTTATCGTATACAGCACATAATGTCTTCCTCCCGATGATTTAGCATTAAGTTATCTAATAAGTGATTTATGTCAAGGTGGCATGTCTGTGAGAATCAAGAAGACCTCATTTTTGTCAGCCTAGACCGAGGGAAGACTGTGTTACTTTACAATTCTACATACTTAGGCGAGTAAAAGACATAAGAATAATTTATTATGAGATACATTCAAATCATTTTTACTCTAAGTTTAGCGGCGATAGGTTGATGAACTGAGTCGAATCTCACATTGAATACAAACACCACGACGTGGAGTTGAATGAGGTTATTCTTTAATGTGGTCCAACGCGTAAAAACTGAAACAAGGATGCAATAACCAAGCTAAAACTTAACTATAGCTTAATCGATTTAAGGCACGATAAGTGAAATCGCTAGCCGATCCGAATGATAAACATTATACAAGAAGAAATAAGTATATCGCGAAATCAGTGAATGTCGGCGACTGAACCGATGAATTAAAGACAAAAGGAATTAAAATGACAAACAACGTTAGAGGGATTACAATAAGTAACATAAAGGGCGTACCTCTATCCCGATCTTAGGGCGAAAACGTGCACGAAAAGGCCAAACAGAAACGATAAATCTACAAAAACCTCTGGGTGTTGTCGTTTTATAATGGAGCACCGTCGAAATTTTTTTTTTTATGTTTAAGGCGGACGGCCAGGCTCCCGTGAGGGCGGTGCAATGCCTGCCGACCTACATGTCCACTCCCTACCCATGGCTGAAGTGCAAGGCCTTAGGGCGGGGTCCGCCAGAAACGAGGGGCACCAGCCGCCAAACACGCTGGGGAATCGAACCCCACCTCACTTAAAAATTACCACACACACACCAAAAATTATACACACACACTCCACACAGTACGAGACACTACAGAACGGTACAAGATCCCAGTGCAGTACACCAATAAAGGAGTCCCAGCACGGGGGATACAAAACGGACACGACAGAAGCCCAGATTAGGGCCATGGGCGTCACTCTGCCGTGCACCAATGAAGGAGACCCAGCACAAGTGACACGGAGACGCACTCACTCAAACAAAGGGAAGCGCCAAGCTTTAGGGGCAGAGCCCAGAGCCACACTCACTCAGACACAAGGGGCAGGACTGGCGGTAACATTAGATAGAAAAGACTAGAGATCCCTCAATAACAGAGGCTATAGTGCAACGAGCCCCCCACTGACGATGGAAGAAACGGCGACGGCGGACCAACATGAAACGCTTGAAGTGGAGCTTCGAGCGAACTTTGACTTTGGCAATGATCACAAGAGCGCCTGGTGGGGAGTTCCGGAAACGGAAGTCGTTGCGGGATTGCCAAATGAAGAACTTACACAGGTTCAGGAGGTAAACAAAGACACAGGGGACAACCAACAGGTCATCAGCGCTGAAACCAAAAAGAGCGTGACGGACAAGAAGCACAGGGGTCATTGGGGAAAAAGCGAACAGGAGGGACTGGAGCCAGGAAATTGTGTTCTGGGCGAGCGGGCAGTAGAAGAAGAGGTGTTGAAGGGATTCGACGGGGGCGCCACAGAAGCAGGGGAGAGGGACAGGCAAACCGAAGGAGACCAGGCGTTGTGCGGTGCAGAGGACACCATGCGCTATCTTCCAGGAAAGGTCGAGGACATGGCGATCTAAGTCAAAAAGGAACAAGGAGCGCCAGGTGGAGGGCCAGTCGAGCGAGGGGTTGGTGACACTGAACTTGTCGATGCAGTGTGGCGGGATCATGTTTTCGGATAGCAGGTACAAGTAGCAAGACTTGGAGGACATGTCACTCGCGGGGGAACAGACAGGGGGGCAAGAAGAACCGAAGACAGGTAACATAAAGGGCGTACCTCAATCCCGATCTTGGGGCGAAAACGTGCACGAAAAACCAAACAGAAACGATAAGTCTACAAAAACCTTTGGGTGCTATCGTTTTGTAATGGAGCACCGTCGAAAATATGAAAGCACGAGGTCCGCTCTATGCTTACTGCGCATGACTTGTGACGTGACCAAAAACTAAGTAACGCAAGGGTAACGCTACGCTAAGGTTAAGGGTACCACTCTCAACATCTTTGAGGCAAAAGTGGTCAACATTTCTCAACAATTCCTGTTTGATGTTCAAAAGGAAAAACAAACTTCAGAGAAAAATATATTGCTCGGTCATGAAATAGAGAACCCAGACCCAGAGTTTGTGAATGTTAACGTCATTGCCCCACAAGTCAAATGCCATATTTATCAAAAACTTGCGGGTGTGACCCAAATGTGTCGTCACACCATAATTGATACTGTGTTCATAATGTTAAAGTGAAAACCAGTTATTGTCCGTCGTACCCTTTTTAGTAATGGCACCCATCTGTCTATACTTCGTACTGAACTTTTTTACTTTTGTTATTGGACTCAGAGTGTAGATTTCCTTCTGCATAGCTACAGAATATGTAAATAAGTACTTCCCAATCACACCTCTAACGAATTGATAATAAAAACGCAAACAGAAAAACGTTGCAGAATGGCAGTACATAAATTCTGAAAACTATAAAAGGTTGCATAGCTTTTTTTCACATTAGAATAACATATTTTGCATGTGTTCAATAACTGCAAATGCGGGGTAAACATGTCAAATGAAATGAGCATCAGTCACTCGACCTTGTGCAGTCCTGCGCCACAGGTTCGAAAGATTATATATGCTCAGATATATCGATTCTGGTGAGGTTCTGTGACACCAGGTTTAGGGAGTAAGAAAAAGAAATATGTGAAGGTGTAGTCTGATCGTCCGGGTGAGCGTAGTCCTGAGAAGGACTGTTGTCGGTGGTAGTGACTGACGTTTCGACAACCTGTGCGGAAGTTATCATCAAAGTGAAGTGAATGATTGTTGTCAGTAGAATGTTCTTATTCCAGTTCGCGTGAAATGATCGGTTGGTTTTGCCGTGATGTTATTGGCTGTAAGACTCAAGTGACGTAAGTCGGTCGTGATTGGTCTGTTTCGATCTGTTTGTAAAGTTAGGTCGTTCGTTTTTGGTCGTTTGTGATGTTTATGTCGTGAATGAGTCGTTTGTATGGAGCGGGTAGTTGTTGACATCTGTTTAGGGGAGTCTGTTCTAAGTTAGTAAACCAGCTTTCCAGAGTCAGTCGTTGAAAATAGTCAATGCTGTAGGTTAGGCATTGCTCAGAGTCCCAGTCAATGTTGTGGTTGGTAAGTCGATGGTGTTCAGCAATGTGATTGCTGACATCACCTTTCCTCGTGGCCTGTCTGTGTTCAGTCAGTCTTGTTGTGAGGTTTCTGCCAGTCTCACCGATGTAGGAGGCTTGACTGACTGAACACAGACGCACAGGTCGTCGCACAGGTTGTCGAAACGTCAGTCACTACCAACGACAACAGTCCTTCTCAGGACTACACTCACCCGGACGATCAGACTACGCCTTCACACGTTACCCCCGGGTTCAAGCCATTTACTGCAAAAAGAAATATTTTTAGAGAGATTCAATGCATTTCTTTGGGTAGAATGTCGTACGATTTGGTGGAAACCTTTAACATGATTGTACCCTTCCTGTTGCTCACTAAATGAAAAGAATTCATAAGACCAATTCTAAATAAAAGACAAAAGAAAACTTTCCAAAGGCGAAGAAATTGCCTCTGTAAACCCTATTTTTTTTAACTTTAAGACGACCAGTAGGACATGTGAAAAAGGCATACATTTCTTACATTTACGAGACCCTTGTGGTAGATTTTTCATACTTAAATTGTTGTTTACTAGAATTTGCGACCAGAAATTGCAAGTGTTTAATATTCTGAAAATCTTATCATTTTAAACAAAATCTCCTATTGAACAATACTTTTAGGACATATCAACACGTAAAAATCATCTTTAACATTCTAAACAAGAGTCCCCATTGTTGTGAAGCCTCACTTGAAATTATAGGCCACAGCGGTGGGAGGCGAGCGCTCTTACCATTGCGGTATCCCTGGAATTAGGTAGGACTTGTGCCCACAGTATGTTATAATAAATTTTGGTAACTTTTAGTAATTGTGAAGACAGAAAACATCAAAATTCCTCCATCAAAACATACCGTGGGCGCACATGCGTTATAATCAGGCTTAACCTCTATGGAGCAACCTTAAGCAGCATACAGGGCACGCGGTATTCAACGATTATCGCGCTGGACTCTGAGTCGAGAAGTCCGAGTTCAAGACGTCTTATTTTGTTTTGTTCTTGGGAAAGACACTCTACTCTCACAGTGCCTCTCTCTACCCAGGAGTAGAAATGGATATAGGCGAACTGTCAAGGAAAGCTGTCAAAGTAAGAAAACCGGGATAACCTCCGGCTGGATGGGCCACTTGGCTTGAGAGTACGCTTTGAGAGCAAGTAAAAAGGAGAACGTAGAAAATAAAGGAAGAATCAACCAAAACTAAAAGGAAAAAAACATTGAGATACAAAAGGGTGAGAAATATGAGGATTCTATCAAAACAAGATTAGTGGACAGCAATGTATGGTGGACCATGATCTCAGTTGAGTTGGGTCTGTGTGTACCAAGCTGAGATTGTTACTGCTAACCTTTCCAGAAAAGAAATCAACTGCCGTTTTCAACTTATATTGTCTTGGAGAAACATCTACTCATATTTCATTACAGATAACTACTTTGAAATTGATAAGGAACTAGCAAGATTTTAGGATTAGAGCGTTTAATATTCCTCACATTTAGGATTAGTAGGCGGTTTGGAATCGGTAGCGAACTAGCAAGATTTTAGGATTAGAACTATTAATATTCTTCACATTACTATTATTACTTTCTTTTTCATCTTCTCCTTCTTTAAAGTTCAAGAAGTAAATGTAAACGAGGCATGTATCCCTTAGTTTTTTCTTAGATCTTTTGTTAAACATTTTAATGTATTTTTCGATTTTTAAGGATTTTATCATGATTTTTGTAAATATATTCAGTGATTGTAGTGAATAAAGGTTTACCATCGATAACTCCTATATTTCAGACTGTTACTTCCGAGCTAGAAAGTCATATCTGGACAGGCACAGTCTGTCGTTGTACCTGACAGCGTCATTTATTTTGTTGGATCATTGTATATTTTGGACACAATCATCTCTCCGACTCATTGCTATCGTTCGTGTTGGGTTTGGTTCTTTTTCTTGTGAATTCTTTCATCTTTATTGTTTTTTCTTTTGTTTTGTTTTTTTGTATTTGCTGGGCATAGGTTTATTTTCTGCCTACCTTATGATGTTCAGCCATTTGCTCACTTTCCAGTCACTCGTACAGATATTCTAGAGGGTGTAAATGAACTCAAGGCCTTAAATAATTGTGAGGATGGAGGTGACTCCATTCCGTTTCCAACAAAGAAAGTCTGGTAAATGGGAAGCCTTGTTTCTTCCCATGAAGCATCTTGAAGAAAAAAGATCTTTTGAGGGAATTTATCCAAGTTCCAGCTTAAAGAAAACTTCTTCCAGTTCTTTTAAATTTTAATTCTAATCTTAAGACCAAAACTATGAAAAGCCTTAAATTTTTACCAGAGTCCGATGTAAAATTAAGGTGAAATCTTAGGTCTCTTCCTGGACCAAACTTGAATTAGCTCTGTGGCTGATCTGTTAAAGGCAGTGTTATATTGTGAGATAAACTGTTTAATAAACTGGGTAATAAATTGGAATATTACGACTGAATTAGATATCTACTTAAAAATTAGTTTCAGGCTAAAGAAAAAAAGAATTGTTGCATTCTGTCCAGGAAAGCAACTCTCTAATTTTTAATTATGCCAACATACCCTCTAGAGAAATTATCATCTAAATAAATATTGCTGAAGCACGCAAAGCGGGCAGGAGTCAAATCGCACAATTACTTTGTTATTGGACAGCATAGGCGAATATCAAAATCAAATTCTTTCTATTTACAATGGTAGAATTGATAGCTTGTGCAATTACTTACAAGTTACAGGTTTAAACAATCAAGTTAAATATGTTCAAGGTAACAAAAATTTGGGGAACGATTGTAACTGACTCCTCTTTATTCACTTCCTGTCTTTGCCTTGTTCTACTGTTAGATCTGTCATATTGGACGACCAAGAACATTTACTGAGAACAATGATGACTTGCGAATCATATCAATTAAGGATATGATACAAGAGAGAGGTTGCAATCTTGATGATGAAAAACCACCTGAAACTTTGAGAAACATCACTTCCCAAAAGTTTATGAAAGATAGCGTTTTGTTTCAGTCTTGCGCGACAAATCACGTAGCACCTCATGAACAAAGTACAGGCGCTGTGGACATCCAACGACAGGACCTTCAGCCTCATGCTACTGAGGGCTTGCTGTATGGAGGGAACGCCAGCATTCAAACCACTGCCACCAAGTCTTATTCAACTATTTCTAAACAATCGCCCTCCAGTTTTCAGCCTCGTGCTCCAATGGAATCAGTACGAAACTGTACAACTTTAGAAAGATCGCTCAAAGAAAATATTGTCAGTGTTGTAGCAAGGTACTTGTTGGGTTTACCTCTTTCAAGTGATAATTTTTCGAGCCCTTTAAGCTCTATTTCAAAGGCTGACAAAGATGGTAAACGTGCAGGAGCCTTTGCATCCAAATGGCGAAAAGGAGGTATGAAATACTTTTACTATATAGATACTGATGAAATACCAGGATTTTTCCTTTTACTAAAAAATCATATCCTCATCGCGCGTAGTGGAGATACTTTTTTATCTTTCACGTATGTGGATATTGGTATCGCCACGGTCACTTTTGCTATTATAGATTTTTTCTCTTCTTCATTAGAATTTTGACTTTTTGGAACGGAAAATATAAGTATTATTGTCTTTATTTCTCCTTTATAACTCTATATCCGAGTTTCATAACATTTTTGCGACAGGCATTTTGTGATAGATGACCACTTTAATAGCACTATTTTGCTGTTTCGAAAATGAATAAAATAGTTGTGCTTTGTGTGGAAATTTCATTAGTATCTATAAAATAAACAGAACATTACATTACCACTTCAACTTTGTTGATATATCCAAATTAGAACATTACATGGCCGCTTGGGGATATGAATTTTATCTTCTTGCGCTGAAAGTATCTCTCATGAGTTAATGAAGCGAACGAGTGGGAGATACTTGCAGCACTCGAAGATAAAATTCGTATCCCCAAGGGGCCATGTAATATCCTCTGTATAGGCTAATCATATCCATAAATATGCGTTATTGACCAAGTGTGAGGTAAAGATGGCTGGATGTTCGCCGAGTCAAAGAACAAGGCTAATATTCAACCATCTAGACCGAACAAACTTGGTCAATAAACGCTTCACGGGATAGCAAAAGGATTCCTCTTTATTAAGAATCAAGAATTACTTGTTTATTTCGGCAAAGGATTTGCATAAAGAAGTAGGAGGCAACCAAAACAAAGAAAACATGAACGACTCTTCCTTGTTTACTATGCTACAAACACAGTTGGCTTCCATTCCTAGCTCAAAATAAACAGTCATTCTTATTTCTCAATAAAGTGAAATCTTTCTCCTTTAAAATGAATACTTTGTTGATGCGAACAGTCGAGATGGCCGGATATTAGCCTCGTCCATTTTTTTTCTGTCCATTTTTGCGTTTTTAATGGACTGAGACGAAGTCGAGGTTCACGAAAACGGAGCAGGAGAACTTGGCCAATATCCAGCCCTCTTGACCTCGCTTGTATGCGGCAGTCATCCTGCCTTTCCCAGTAGGTACCTTCAAATACAGGTTAAACTGTAATTATCTCTTCTTAGATTCTGGTATCTCGCAGTTTATCACGTAGTTTGTTTCCTATGAGATTCTTTTACTTGAAAGTGACTTTCCTTCTTCTCTCAGGTACTATGCAAATTTGTGAAGTAGCTAAATTGTTTGACAAAGACACTCTGGTTCAACTTAAGCATGAATGTGGAGGTCTTCAGACCTTGTTGCGAAATCACTATCATATTTTCAAAGGTCAGTACTAGTTGAAGTTGTAGTGGTAACAACAACAACAACAACAACTTTATTTGTACCCAATATAAAAAAATAGTGATAAAAATAATGATAAATTGACAAGAATATAAAGGAGTACTAGCTGCCCCAAATAACCGTAGGGCTAGAAAAAAAGGGCAGCTATACTTAGGTGATTTATGTAATGTAATTATTTGGGGTTAGGGTTAATAATTATGTAATGTATGTAATGTAATTATTTAATAATTATGTAATGTAATTATATAACACACACAACACACACACACACGTACACACACATACTCATTCATCATACAAAACAAGGTCAAGGAAGCAAAGAATATCAGAGTAGAAAACAAGCGGAAGGCCAGAAAAATTATTAATATTTATCAAAAAGAACTAGCTTAAGGTTTTTCTTAAAACGTTTCAGAAAAAGAAGCTTTATGTCTTCACTTATATCATTCCAGACTTTAGCACCCTGAAATCTTATGTTGAAGATTCCATAATTTGTTCTGGCATTTGGAATAGTATAAGTCATTTTGCTAGATAATCTGGTATTATAATTAACATCCTAACAGAAATGAAATAAGGGTCAAATACAGGAGGTAATAGTTTCTTGTGAAACTTGTACATAAATACTGCAAGTTGAAAGGTAATAATGTCAAACAGCTTCACAACATTTAGATCTTTAAATAAACGACTTGAAAGTTCGTTATGACTAGAGAAAGTAATTATTCTCAAGGCTCTCTTCTGTAATATAAATAAAGGTTGCAAAGCTGTCCGATAGGTATTACCCCAGACAACTATGCAGTAGTTTAAAAGAGGCTCAACTAAAGCATAGTACATGCTAAGTAGTGTTTTAGTACTTAAGAAATGACGGAGCTTGGACAGAATGCCTATACTTCTCTTGATTTTTTTAGAAATATTAGTAATGTGCGTCTTCCAACTAATATTATAATCTCTGTAAACTCCAAGGTATCTAATGGAAGTTACCTGGGTTAAAATATGATTGTTTATAGATAACATAACCTGTTTGGGCAATTTGGGCAACGCGTACTATTAGTAATTGTCGTAGTCGTTGTAGTCATAGCCATATATTAGCAGTTGATATTGCTGCAGTTGTTGCTTTGTTTTGTCTTTTTGTTTAGTCTGGATAGAATTAAGTGGTAATTCGGGGTCTTTCTCATCTTTGTCATCTTAAACTTTTCAATGGTTTTGATAAAATCTTCACATTGCTGAAAATTAAAATCAAGTTTCATTTAGTTGCAGGCGGTTTGATTGAAATGAAGGATTGGAGTCAAGAATCCTTATTCCCTGGTGCAAAGAAACGTGATTTAGGAAGGAAGCTGCAAAGATCTTACGCATTAAGGAAGACTTCATTTTGTTGGTTTTACTTACATCATCCTGATGGATGTCCAGTACCAGCGGAGAATTGTCGTTATGCACACACTACAGATGATCTAAGAGAACGACCCTCAGCAGAAGTCCTAAATAGTTTATGAGTATTAAGGTCATCCAATAAGGTTTTTTAAACTCTCTAAAAGAAAACGATAAGAGACCAAGAAGAAAAGAGGTTCCTGTGAGGTTCAGAAATCGTGAAGAACTGAGTAATCAAAGACTCAAAACCACAAACTAATATCCAATGCTGTTTGCACTTAAGTTTTCTGTCACCTGATTGGATTTTCCTTTGCAACACAGTAACATTCCATCAATAACGTAAATGATACTGGTGTGATCAGTTTTTTCGAGTTTCATATTGTTAGTTGACAAAGGCACAGTAAATAGGCTTCGACCAATGTAGGTCAGAGGAATTCATTAAAAGGATTGGGGTCATAATGTCAAAGTGAAGGACAGAGTCAAGGCCAAGAGAACGGCAATGCTCTGCAACTTAAAGAAAAGTAGTTCTATTGCCCTTGTATAATTAACTGCTATCACTTTCACCTGGTAAGTTTAAAATAATGAATATAACTGATAAAACAATGATGGCACCGCTTTCCTAGAGCAAGCTCAGGTGATAAATATCAGTCTAGTTAATTTAATAGCTTCGCCAACCAGCAGGGACACCGCAACAGCTTGCGCCAATTACTGCGGGCCCAATAAACCCACCCATCCCACCCCAGGGGAGGACACCCATCACACGATAGTCGGTCGATCTAGCGAACAACTATCGCCGGGCGGAGTGTCGGTCGATATTTCACTGACGCATTTTGATATACCGGTCGAAAGTACCTACAGTAATGCGCGTCTATTTAGGCCATACATCCACATACTCTGGAACGTTGTGTATAGAAATACCCTTTGTATGTGTAGTACATCATTTGGCGCTCCGGCCACACAACACTTTCGTCTCCTCTTCCAGATTTCTCCTTTCTCCACCATAGTTGCTCAAGTGTCTTCACTAGTTTCTGCGTCATAACTATGTAATATAATCGCTTTGACCGTGCGCTAAATGTGAACCCCATGAGCTTCGCCCTCCTGCTTTTAGGCAGGAGGCCAAACTGCTCTGGATTCTTGAATAACTTTTTTAATTTTGCATACCTCAGGGATCAAGCGTAGGAAAATAATTTGAACCGATCGGACCATGTCAATGCATTTGGACCATTTCTCTAGTTAACAGTTTCTGTTACCAGTTGGACAATTTCCTCTAATAGGACCATTTAAACCAATTAGATCCGTTACACCAGATGGACCGTTTTAACTGATTGGATAAGTTTAACCAGTTGGTCAGATGTAATAAGTTACTCTTTTCTAACCGCCTGGACCATTTTATCTAGGTGGTTTGACCAATTTATCTAGTACGATCATTTTAAACGGTTGTACTATTTACACTAGTTAGACCATTTACACTTGTGAGACCACTTGGACCATTTTACCTAGCGATATCATTTCAACCGATAGAAACTATAGTCTTAAGATCCAGATCATCGGTATCGCGATCTATACCATTAATGTAAATGTCATCACTGATTTTGGCATTTGGACCATTTGGACCATTTTACCTAGCGATATCATTTCAACCGATAGAAACTATAATCTTAGATGCTGATCATTGGTATCGCGATCTATACCATCAATGTAGATGGTATCACTGATTTTGGCAGAAGGTATGCCACGTATTGTATCGCTTTCTTTCTTTCTTTCTTTTAGTAACACATTAGAGAACAAAGTTTATACGCTAATATCGATAGAATCTATCATGAATTGAGAATGTTGGGAAGTATTGACTCGGGGTGAAGTGAAATCTTGTGGTATTCATGACTTAGGTCGACTTTGCGGAATCCTTTGCAGCCATTCATATCAAACAACACATCGTCAATGGTAGGAATGACATGACGTTCTCAGTTGATAACTTAAGGGACTGCATGTCAGATTCTGATCTCGTTTGGTTTCCGGGGTTTTGGTACAACCACAATTTGCTAAACCCATGGGGTTGGGCCTTCCGCAACGTAGATGATGTTATCTTTCTCAAGGTGGGCAAGTTTCTCTTCTAATTGCTTCCTACAGTGAAAAAGATGCCACATTGCCGTTGTCCCACTGGTTTGACAGATTCCTCTATATGTACTCCTACTACTTCTCCTTTGTACTCGCTTATTCCATTAGTTGAACAATACAAGTCTTAAAGGAAGTCTGGTGTGCGAGGAGATAGACCAGCCGGTGCCTCTTCAATGGTATTAATAGCTTTGGTCAGGTTTAAATTCTGCGACAGAGGTGTATTTTACTCTTTTGTTTTTTGACAACTGTATCTGAGCCAAGCGCTTCTAAGAGAATTTCCGTTGGCACCAGAACTAATTAAATAAGGAGTAAACTCTCCTGTTCTAATGGGAATAACCAAGCCAGCAATCCAACGTCTAGCTCTCCGAGGCGGTGTGAAGTGCACTTCTGGGCTTATTTGCGAAGAGGCCCGCGGAGGCCTTAAAGTTTTCCGTGGCGCTCAACGAACTTTCGAAACGAACTTTCGAAACGAAAGACGGTTGCCGCAGTGGATGTGGCCTACGCCCCGAAACGCTAAGGTGGTGCCCTTTACGGCTTTAGCAAAAACCTCAAAGAACAGTTACGCCTGTTGAGGCCACAAGTGCAATAATTCGCCTCAAATGTAATAACTGACTCCAAATGTGATAACAGTTGGCCTCAAATACAATAACTGGCTCCAGACGAAAAAGTACGACAAAAGTAACTCTAAAACAAAACATATCTAAAGTGGACGTCACGAGTCACGTGATACTGGGAGAAAGTTTTTTTTGCATAAATTGATAAATGGACAATTTGATGTACTCATACTGAGTACACGGATATCCTATATTCCAAGTAAACGTAAGCTTTACGTGATCAAACCACGTATATCGGATATTGTTAAAAAGGGAATGGGGAATATAAAATTGAAGTAGGAAAACTGAAAATGGGGAATTAAGAACGACAAATTATTGATTTTCAATTGTACATCAGAACTGAAAATCTTTTGTTCACGTGGGATAGATTGGTGTCTACTTCCAATGAACTATTGAAGTTTTGAAAAGAATGCGAAAATTTATTTTGTTTTCAGGACCGTAAGAGGATCAAAGGATGAAATATTCATAATATGCGTAGGTGAGTCAAAATTCAAACTCCGAAGGCGTTTCTTTTATTTTTATCAAAGATGTTTCCTTTGGAGCTTAAAATTGAAAATGAAAGGGAATACATCAAGGTGCGCGGTTTTCAAGTAGTTTTAAAACGGATGATTTGTTAAATCAGAATATCTGTCAGCTTCTTACGGTGGATAGGTTCGCTCACATTTGGTTCGAGTACAAACACTAGTTCTTTTCCCCGTCGTCACGGGTGGTTAATTTATCATTTTCATTTCCAAAGCTATCACGTAACGGATATCGCGTTAAGCCGGAAAAAGATACTTCCATTTCACAGAAATGAAAAAAATAGGTTGAACAAATATTTTCTCGAAGCAATTTGGGAGTGTTCTCTCGAATTTGATGCAAACCCTCGGCTGCATCTCGGGTTTGCATAACTGTCTCAAATTCTCCTCCCCCCCCCCCCCGCGTTTAGATGAGGCTATATAAATCCTCTATTACCTAGTAGTAAATATAAGCATCCGTCTTGAAATTGCTGGAAAGGCGCCCACCTACCATATATTCCCTTTCCATTTTATAGTGCTAGGAATTTGTTTTCTTTGTTAAAAAATGGAAGAAGAATCTTGAAAGTTTGGATTTCGATTCACCCTGCGCATTAGTATTCTTCATTCTTTGATCCGAGCTTGATAGAAAAGGAAAATGATTCAATTCTTTCTAATCTATTGTTCTTTAAAAAGGATAAGTAAATTTGATAAAGCAATAGCGAAAGAATTCATTTCTTTTTAATAATTGACTATTTTCTACTTTCCCATTCTTAATTTTATGTTTTCATTTTTCCCCTTTCAATTTTCCATTTCCCATTCCTATTCCCGATTCCCCATTACCTATATCCCGTTTTAGTAACATTCCATGCATATCGCGACCGTGGGAAAATCTCATAAGTTCAAGATTTGTATATCACTAAGTTATCAACATTCTGTTAGTTAGTGCGTCCTTCACCTTCGTCTGTGAAAGAAAACCATTGAAAGGTATGAGAGGGTCTATTCATTATCAGCATGTAATAATGATCCTATAAACTAAAGAAACTATTTCAATAACTCAAAAAATAGTAGACCTCTACGAAAAAATGTCAATGAAAAGAAATGACTGAAAACATCAAAAAGAGACGAAGGCGAGATAATTCACAATGGAAGCATATTCAAATCATGCGACAAAAAACGATTTTTTTGCGAAGCCGCGGTAAACGAAAGTATTCTCCTGAAACTTTAGGAGACGAAATAGTTGAATACCTGGAAAGTAATACCCTCGATCACGATGGACGGATTCCCGCCATTAGAACTGGTCCCTGAATACGAAACTTGGGGCGATTACCTTTTATACATGATGCAGAACCAGACGTTTGGGGACAAGCGAGTTTACTCTAGATACAGCAGCAGATCTCTATAACGTCAACGTCCATGTTATCTCTTCTCTTGGTGTTGGGGCTAATCACACATTTAGCCCCTCATCCAGTATCCCTCTTACTACCGTCTATTTTGGCCACTTCACTGAAACTCACGGAGAACATTATGTCAGTCTTACCCCGGGTGTTCAAAACAGTGTCGGTGGCTGTAATGACTTCATGGAGGGTGAGGACGACGGTGGTGATGCCATAACTGACGATGACCGACCTAATGTTATTGATGATGCTGACGATGTTGTGGAGGACGATGCCATTGCTGGTGGAGTTCGAGGCACAGACGATTCACAAGATCAGAAATTTTCGAACAGTGATGTTTTAAATATAATTATCAAACTAACTTTATGCACCTTACCTAAAAGGTGTGAACAGATTTATTAGATCAACGGTTGATAAGGTGCCTTGCCCCAGAGTATACATAGCAGAGCTCCCTGATCACGTTACGGTTATCAGCGAGCGGAAAATCGTAATGCCAAAAGGGAGAGGAAGTGGTACTGTTGTACGCCTGCAGCAAATAATAAGATCTCTGAAATGGCACTACGCATGGATGGTACTTGATAACGAGCATACATAGACTCAGGAAACCGCGTCATACACTTTTAACTATTGTCAAGAAGAGATGTTATGCGTTAATCTGCATGGTAAGTCTAGAAATTTAGAGCGTTAAAGTTTTAAGCTGAACTTGGGCCAGTCTTTTCTGTAAGGCTAGGCTACGCTTAAGAACTCTGCTAAAATAACACACTCCGTTTAAAAATAAGTACACTAACTACAGTACCGACATTCTTTAAAGGAGCACTCTTATGAAACCGCCCTATAATTTGAAAACCCGAAAAATTCAGTTATTTCATTATAATATGAATTTTTAGCGATTAATAAAGCCTTTTCAAAAATAATTTTAGTTGAAAGTCAATTCTAGGGCGAGAAATTACGATTTGAAAACCGTTCCAACATTAATTTTCGTAATCACGGCCAGGCTTATCTTCGGTCAGCGCTCACTCCCATTGTGACGTAGACTACTCAAAACACTGTTGGCGTCATTTTATATTTATACGGAAACCTCGTGAAATTTAGTGAAATAGTCTGAAAGGTAAAAGTTAAAGTCTGTTTACGAGCCTAGTGGCCCATTAGGCCGGTGCTTAACTCCGGTTTCTGTAGCATGAAGCGACTAGGAGTATTTCTACTCCCCCCTGAATGGTGCCAGTCCATCGCAGGGTTACCCCAGCATTAAATTGTCAGTACCCATTTAAACACCTGGGTGGAGAGAGGCACTGTGAGAGTAAAGTGTCTTGCCTAAGAACACAACGCTACGTCCCGGCCGGGGCTCGAACCCGGAATACTCGATCCGGAGTCGAGCGCACCGAAAACCTCGTGAAATTTAGTGAAATAGTCTTAGTTTTAGTGTTATAAAAGGAATATATACGATCAAAATACTGTTTTTGAAAATTAGCCACAAGCACGGCGCGTCAAATGAGTAATTACGTCACGCTCCAAACTCGCGCCAGTCTTCTTGAGTCTGGCAAGTGATTACGAAAATTAATGGCGGAACGGTTTTCAAATCGTAATTTCTCGCCCTAGAATTGACTTTCAACTAAAATTATTGTCGAAAAGGCTTTATTAATCGCTAAAAATTCATATTATAATGAATTAACTGAATTTTTCGGGTTTTCAAATTATAGAGCGGTTTCGTAAGAGTGCTCCTTTAACCGATTCCCTAAACTGACCAAAACTGTCCGCGAGAGTAGCGCTATCTGTTTTTACGCCTGAAAATGATGAAAACTGAGTAGAGAGACTTCCAATAACGTCTGTCTAGATACTCCCAATACCAATTTTTGAAATTTTTTTTCGTCTAAAATCGTACAAAAGCTACCCTACTTTATCACTGACTCAAGCTGTCGCTTCCTTCGGCATTTGTTAGGATTTTTTCCAGTACAAAATAACATAAAAGAAACGATTGAAAAAGACTTGAAGCCACCAAAAGATAGGTCCCGTGTGATGTTTTTTTCCTCGATAAAACGTTTGCGTTTTGCATACGCTCAAAAGAAATATGTCGCAAACAGCTTGAAAGCTTTAACAGCTTTCGACTGCTTGGCTGCAACATACCAGAAATAGCCGAGCTGTACAAAATTTTCCTTGACTATCGACATCACCACAAATGCCAAATTACAATTTCTGACCGCTACGTGACTGATGACATCATCAAATGCTGGTGATATGAACTTGATCGCTAAGTCCAAGTTTGGTCTTCATCCATCTATTCATTTATAAAATAACTGATTTTCCATGGTTTCCAACGACACCCAAAATATGTTTGCAGACTGAGTTTATCGCAAAACGTATGGTTTACTTTTGCGCCAATTATTACATTTGAGGCAAACTGTTATTACATTTGGAGCCAGTTAGTGACATTTGAGACAAACTGTTATTACATTTGTAGCCAGTTCTTACCTTTGAGGCAAAATGTTATTACATTTGAGGCAAACTGTTATCACATTTGGAGCCAGTTATTACCTTTGAGACAAACTGTTATTACATTTGGAGCCAGTTATTAACATTTGAGGCCAGTTATTGCACCCATGACCTCAACAACGGCTTCTTTAGGAGCTACCCCTTGCGAAAGTCGCGATCAGCAACAATGGTAGTGAAAGCATAAAAGTGTATTTTTGTTTACATGTGTGAAAGAAGTCAATGCGCCATTTGACTTCGTTTTAGAACTGCACGCTGCTATATTATTCTCAACGTTGTTTCTTATCATGTTGCAATACGTAAAATTATCTGTATGTGGGAACCAAAGTATTTTCTTGTTATCAGAAGGAACGATGATGGCTGGGAATAACAAAAGATCAGAGCAGGTTTTAAACCTTTGTTGTGATCAGCGATCGTACCATACAAAGAAAAATGCGCGTCTGTCTTAATAACCACACGTGATTACACTGTTCTCGACGTTGGTCATGCAATCGTTAAGTTAGCACTAACGCAGTATATTTGCAGTCTCTTGTCGTAGCTCTTTACGGAAACAAAATGGTTTCTCCTTTCAAGATAGGAGGAACGAGGATGACAAGGAATGGAAAAGATTAGAGTGGAAGAGCAGTGGACTGGAGCTTGTGATCCGCGATCCTAACATTCAAAAGAAAATGCGCGTTTTTTGTCGATACAAGCACACGTAATTACACGATCTCAAGGTCAGTCCTACAATCTTTAGACTATGTTAGACCTTGCGTAATACTTTGGAGCAGTTTGTTGCGGTACGCTAAACTACCTCTTGCTAGAAACAATATGGTTTCGAGTGAAAAATGATGTATTTGGTGAACGACAGAGGTATACTAGGAGATAAAGAACTCCGATTTGAATGTTCTCGTTTCTTTAGAGCTTGTATCTACAAATACAGGGGAAGGTAATCGTTCAATTTTTCACAGGGAAGCCTTACTCATTACGTTACCACATATCATTTATGCGAATATATATTATGAAGAAGTAACATATTACCACTTCTATTGGGGAACAGTAACAACCAATCTAAGCAAGGTGTGCTATTCAGTAGACCCCATTCATAGACTCAACCTTGCTATTTATAAAGCAATGATTCCTTGAAAACTGTCGACTGTCAGAAGCTCCTTTTGAGATCTTACATCCGAATATTATAATCCACAGGTAGACTAAGTTACTGATAGAACACAAACACCCGTGTAAACGCCTCCACGCGTCTTGCAGCTTGACAAAGACTGGCAGTGTGCAGTGGAAACGTTGGCACTAACGAATATCAATTCCTACAATGGGATTTTTCCCATTTCTAAAAAAGCCGTCTTATAACTCCTCCCTCAGCGTCCAAGTTTGATAAATCTCCGGCGGCTCTAGACGGTGATCTAAGAAAACGTAGAAGGTCTAGAAATAGATTTACTCTGTAAATCGAAGCGGATTTTGGGGTGCAAAAATCGTTCAAACTCAAACACTCCTTAAGCCAAACAAAACACGACCTGAGAAACATTTTTAACACAAGTGCCTTGGATTTTCTACCACATACTGAAAATAGACTACACTACAGTGGTAACCAAAATTCATCTAAAATTTGGTTCATCTCCAACAGTTATTTAGGGTCCAGAGCCCCACAGCCAACCCTTGAAATATCCAGCTAGTCCACCACTTTTCTTCTCTTCTACTCTGTGAGCCAGTGATGGGAACTTGACTTGATTGAGAGCCAGGTCAAAGAACAGGGGCTTGCAAGGTACTGGATTAAAATCTGGTGGGAATGAAGTAACCTGTGGCTTCTTGGTCGTCAGCGAATAGTCGGAAAAATAGTACTCCAATCGCTTACTAAGCGGCTAAGTAAAGAAAACATAAAAAATTCATCCACTCAGCTGATTGCTACGCAAAGCATGGTAACTCCATTCCTTAGGTGAGGGGTAAGGGATAAGAGTGAAGAAATATGGGTGGAGGGGAGGGGAGGCGAGGGGAGGGAAGGAGAGGAGAGGAGAGGGTAGGGGAGGGGAGAGGGGGTAAGAAGTAAAGGGACCGCGATGATACCAATACAAAGCAGGAAAATCCGTGGGAAATATCCACATTTCCCAAACATCTGCACAATTTTCTGTCCAAACAGTCTGGTGTTTTCGAAAACATATATTACTGGTGCGGTCTGTCTGTAGACGGAAGATGCAAAAAAAATAAAATATCTACCAACGTAAAAGCATGTGTCGGTCAAAATTAATGATGACCAGAGGTGTTTATTTTTCAAGAGAGAAGTCAGTTACGAAGATCTTCGCCCATACCAGGCTCTTGGTAAGTGGAGACAAAGGAATGAGCAGCCAAAAAAATTCTCACTCGCCCCGTTTTGTCCCGCTGTGGTGTTCCCTAACTAAAAGTAAGTAAAATTTTGATTCAAAGAATCATGATTTTTCGGGACCTTAATTTTGAAGACATTCATTTATTTATTTACAAAGATAATAAGACAAAAATTGCTATCTGATGACGTTGCATAAGTGATTTTCAAATGTAACACAGGAAGATGAAACATTACTGCTAAATTAGGACAAGTTTTAAGAATTAACACTATAATTTATCCTCCTTTGATTTACTTTTTTTTGTTTGGATCAAGCCCCGGTTGTTAAAGAGCGGATAAAAGTTAAAATCTGCTGCAGAAAACCCGGGTAACACTGCGTATAGTTAACTGACTGGTTCATCATTATCCAGACCACTGACTGAATAACACTCAATAGGCTTCGGCGAGATTTCACATGTGGATACTGATTATCAGAGGTGCGACAACATAACGGAAAAAAAATTATTTTTTTAATGGCGGAGTGCCCCGTAATTCTTCAAGCCGTCAAGTAATGCATCCACGTTTGATAGATTACTCCGAAGAAGATGAATCTGACCGACACTTTTTTTCTGCAGGCAAAAGTAGGATAGTGGCTAGAAAGCGCTATCAATTTTTTCAAACAACCGAACTGAAGCAAGTGGCCTGGGAAAAACTTATTCGATGGAAAGCGACTTCTCCGCTTTTTCAACAACCATGGCAAGTGAATGATTTATTTACTTCACACTGTACTGCCTTCCCTACTCTTCATCCCTCGGGAGCGGAAGTAAAGCAACCGAGTACGATCAATAATGTTACAATTAGACATTCAATACAAATCTGCACTTCAGTATTACCTTTTCATTCAAAGAAATATCTGCAACTTCATCCGATACATCTTCATTCTCTGTCAAAATAAGATGGATTTGTGGATTTGTACCGGAATCAAAATATTTTTCTCCCTTAGTGTGGCATCATATTTGAGCAACAGGACTAGAAACCAAAGATTAGTAAAAATCTGCGTAAGTAAAACTCTATTCCCATAAAAGATTACGATCCACCGAGGAAGGAAGGTGTCACGAAGTCGTCAGCTCGGCGGGTTCGATATCACAAACACTGTGAAGTCAACGCCACGCACGCTTGCCTACACAACAGTAAATGTCCTCCAATGTGTTGAACCATATAATAGCTTACCTAGGATGCAAGATGCATAAGCAGAACATTTGAAGCCTTGAGCTTGTGACAAAAGTTCTTGAAGACTGCTTATTACCTAAAAAAGGAATACAAAACAAAGAGAAAATTTCCATTAGATACGTAGAACTAAGGTGCGCACTAGTAAAGGGGTGCTCAGTTTATGTAAACAAATACGGCTATAATTCAAAATAACTTTTCCATGTTTCGTGCTTAGTACATAAAACTTTGCAACAAATGTAAAGAATTTAACTTTGCACTGAAGAAGGGCTAAGCCCAAAAGGTATATAAACTCCAATCTAAAATGTAACAGCAGTTGTCCACGTCTACTGAAAACTTCTTTAATAGGAAAAGGGACAGTACCTCAATATCACATTGACTTTTCATGCCAATAATTTTTTTACAAGAAAATAGAGGTAATACAAATTATTACCAATAAACTAACGGAATCAACAAATTTGGATATATCAACAAAGTTGAAATGGTAAATTGGCCACCGTAACGATTACAAAAGCTGACGTTTCGAGCGTTAGCCCTTCGTCGGAGCGAATAGAAGAATTGTACATTTTCTTGGAATGAACATTTCAAGAAAAATGTGAGAATTTAGTTTTAGGTTTGATATTTTCCCTTATTACAAGGGCCCTTGAAGGCCCATTTTCATGGCATAAAACTTCAGCCAAAAACGCACAGCCACCACAAAAATGGTAACAGTTCATAACCATATCAGGTAAGTATGATGCACGATCCTCGCAGTAGATAGCGCTATTTATGCAATAGCGAAAATCAGACCTGAAAAAAATCAGGCCTGTACGGGACTCGAACCACTGACCTCTGCGATACTAGTGCAGCGCTCTACCAATTGAGCTAACAAGCCAACTGGGAGCAGGCCGTTAAATTGGTTCGTAATAAACCCGTGAAAGTGATAAATGCGAGGATCGTGCATCATACGTATCTAATACCGCAGTTCAAAATATATGAACTTCATATATTTATTCTATCTCATATCAGGTAACTTTTGTACTGTGAAAATAAGACGGCAAACCGTGCACCTCGATTTTCTGGTCTTGCCAGTTTACTGACAAAAGATAGAGAAAATGGATTGAAAGACAAACAGAACGACAGATTATGATGACATTAAATACAAAAGAGAAAATCGAGACAGACCTGCACAAGCGAGTTAAATTCTTGGAAATGAGTGATGGCAGAGCTTGCAAGGATCAGAACATGGTTATACAGTGACATTGCTTCACGCCATTTCTTTCCAAGAAAGTAGGAATGGGCAACATATAAGCACCTGGAAAGGAGAAAAAACCAGCAGAAAGTGCTCAAGAGAGATGTATAACTGCATTATCTTCGCCCCCTCTTACTGGAAGTGCTTCTATATATATGTTACATACTCGATTGCAGTTGTTTTCTTGTTTTCTACATTCCTGCATTAAACTGACTCTTACTGGAACTGGGTTTTCCCTAATATTGCGCAGCGGTAGAAAAACCAGTCACTTATACGTACACTTTTAACTAATATGAGATCAAGAAACAGAAAATTTTTACTAAAAATAAATGATTTTTTTTAAAAGGAGTGACACAAAGTTTCCCGAAACAAAAATTTTGAATTTGATTTCAACAAAGATTTGTGGTCCAAATTTCATGTTTAAACTTGATAATTCAATCTTGACGTTATGTACTTCTTAGATATACGCTATCGATGGCTGCTTCATGGTGTTTTGATGCAACATTGTAAGTAAACGTGAACCTTACTCGTGTTTGATAAAAGGTTTCAATTATTGACTTTCTACTTACAACAAACCATAAACATTCAGTAACCCAACCAAACCCTAATCATCTAAGTAGCTGATTGAATTAGTTTGATGTACAAATACCTGTGGGCCTTACACTCCAATATTTGAGCTGCAACCTCCTTGGAAAACGATAAGTCTTGATCAATTTCTGGTATCTCAGCCATATCCGAAAGGTTCTAAAGAGAACAAGAAGATCAAATCGCTGAGTTTGATCCACTCTAACAAGAAAACACTAGAGGTCAGGATGAAATACTTATTTATTACTGGCTCACAGTGGTGCTACTTATTTCAGAATCGCACAATTTTTTTGTTCTAAGTTGCATCTCTTTCCCAATCAATGAGAAAGCAACACTACAAAAACAACCAATCAGAGTTCAAGGCTTGCTTTAAGTAACCAATCTTGATGCAGGGAAAAAGAAAGACAATGGAGGTGTTGTGTAAAATATTGAGAATTTTGGTCTCCGAAACGTTTCTCTTTCTTTTCATTTTTTCGGTTCTGCTTTCTTTTTTACAATCCAGCTGAGTTCAATGCTAATAAAATATTTGTACTGACTACAATCCTGTGTTTGGGAAGTTGACTCTTGTGATTTCAAAATGGATGTAATTAAGTGGCTATTGAACTTCATGTTGAACAATTTTGGCCTGAAATCATTCTTCTGATTTCAAATCACGTGTATAATTTCAGGCCGAATTGTACTCCACTAAGTTCAATTACCATTACATATCAAGACTAAGGGCCAAGTCCCACTAAGTTAATTATTTCTGCTCTCAACTTTCTTAAAATTTGTTAAAGGACCAGTCATTAATTGAGTAGAGGGGCGGTAATGGGTAAAAGGCAATCAACGGTAAGGAAAGATGGAGTCTGTTATACTTTTCAGGTTGAGCCGAGGGCAGAGAGCGTGAACATGGTGGTGAATATAAGCAGATTTGGAAAGTTACAATTAGATAAATAGCTGAAGTAGTGATGGCCATGTGAATGACGTCATTAATGAGTCAGCAATTTTGCAAAGATCCAGAGATGAGACAAGGGTGACACCCTGATTCACAAAAGATGGCAAATTAACTTTGGCTATAGCATTCACGTCCTTGGTTTCTGTATCATGCAGATGCCAATATTAACTCCATGCATCAAAAAAAGAAGGAAAACCTCATTTGTTACCCCTACAGATTAAAGGGGTGGAGGGGCATTGAAATTTAATCAAAAACTAAGAGAGGAGGCACTTGCCATTTTCAGGCTTATTCTAAGGGGATACTTGCATATCCAGACAACCAATTGCTTGTATCACAGTTCCGTTTGTGATTGTAAATCAATACTTTGCATACAATTATGAGCAATGTACAATTATGAGTGATGTTTGGGAGATTCTTGTAATGTGCATTGATCATTAACATTGATCAGCTTTGAGAAATGGCCAATAAATAGTAATTATCTTACCTGCATTATTATGTCATATATTCGAACAAGGTCCTCTGGCTTTGAAAGCCGTTTGACACTATCTACTGTTATTTCCTCAGCAGCATTCTGAAGAACTGCTGGTAAACTGCCTTTCATTGACTCGGCCATTAGCAAGGTTCTTTCTATTGTTTTACTCAGGCGGATAAAAGTGACATAATTGTGAAGAAACTGCATATTTCCTGTTTGTGTCTCTAACTTTTGAGACCGCAGCTTGCCAGAACCCTATCAAATTGAAAGCACATTTGATAATGATGACATGGCTTTGGTAACTGAATGAATATAGTTTATACCACAGACTAGTCTCAAAAGATTGATTAATATTGTAGAAAATAAAACTAATGCAAAAGAAGAAACAATTGTAACTCACTGTGTCTCCCTTTAACTCATCTTTGATTGCTTGCAAGGCATCCTTGCATTCCATGAGTAAACTGTCATACAATGTAAGCTTGCTGTCTAAAGTATCAGCTCTCTCTAATTCTCTGGCGCATTGTTGGGAATGAAGTATGAATGAGCGAACTTTCTCATTCTTGACTGGGACACAACGGCCACACCAGCTCACTTCTGTCATGGCAGCTGCTTCTCTTTCTCGTGTTTGAGCAATAACTTCCTGAATGTAGAAAATCATGCATGTTTAGCAGTAAGGAATGCAAGAATGCAGGAGGTGAAAACGTAAAGTCACAAACAACAGCCTTTTTTCTGCTATTTTCTCCTGGAAAAATCACACTTCACTATGGGCACTATCTACAAAAAGGAAATTTCTAGGTACTGTAAATGCCTATGACAAAGTACTAAAACTAAAATTAATGAGTGATCAAGAAGAATAAAGTTTGGAACTGAACTTTACAACTTTATTGAAGTGCTACATCTCTCTACCAAAGCTATGATCAAATGCCATATCTGACTAGTGGATAAGTGGTGTTACTTCTGACCTGGCCACAAAGCCACATGTTGGCAGCAAAGAAAATCATAGAGAGTTGCTTGCTGCTCATAACCAAATTTAATAACAACTGATTTTAAAAACATAAGCATTTACATAAGCAAGAGATTAACATAAGCAAGAGTTACTTTTTTGGATTGGTGAGTTGAAAATGGTCACTTAATAACTGATGTTTGCATTTTTGTAAAGGAAAAGAGCATCTACTTTCAAAAGATTTCAGTTTAGATAAGTTCCAACACATATTTTATGGTCTATTGCCACTGGTGTCTGAATGATTGTTGGCAAAAATAAACTGCATTGGTGCCACGCTTCCTGTAATCTCCTTCACAGCGGAGACTAAACATTGACCTGCTTGCAGGCTAGGACTGTGCTAATTGCAGTTCCTTTTTCAGAGACAAAATCAAAATCATTCAGTTACAGCTTCTTGCCTTAAAAAGATCCTTCCACATAATTTTGCAGTGAGAAGCTAACCAAGTACACTAGCCTCTAACCAAATACATGTTTTTGCTCAACTAAGTGACAATGTATTGAATAACAAGAAAAGTATCATATTTCAATGGCATTTACAGGGGCATAACAACATAAGCTCCTCATTTGTTAGCTGTCTAACTGGACTTTGCCTGGTGCATGCAGAACACATGATAAAATGCAGATAATTTACAATGAATTAATGTGTGAAGGGGGAAGTTTATGGTAGCTAAAAGCAAATTTTATTGATAAAAAACATCTAAGGAAAATTTACCACCAGTAGCAAGTTTTCCCTAAAAAGAAAAAGCTTTTGTCAGTGATAATTTCGTGTTAGGCCTAAAGCTAATAGGGTGTGCGTTGTAAATGAAGGAGTGGTACACAAAACACCTTTTAACTTGTAAAGGGTAGGAAAATTCAATCCCAACAGATCATAGCAAAGAAGTCCTGGGAAAGGACATGAACCATTTCACTAAGGTAGATAAGCTCACAATTCTTGTTAATGCCATAGTTGGTGTGGATCAATGTTGGGTTGTTCCATCACAATACATCATGGTATCCTACCTTCCTGTCATGATCAGCATGAGGGATGACACTGATTGGTGCAAGCATACCCAAATTCTGTGATCCGATTGGCGCATTATACATGACAATCCGATCAGAGTGAGCAACACAGCTCTCTTTACAGTAACATAGAGTTTTTTTTTAAATAGAAAATAGAAAAAAAAAGAAACATTTGTGTTGAACACCGAAATGTCTACTTGATTTGCACTTAGTTAACAATGACATAGTACTGTGTGCCACTTACATCAATTTTGGCTGTTAGCACTGGATCGTGTGTTCCACTTCCAGAAGCACTCCACCTCAACTGCATTAGATCGCTGATGTCTGTGGTTCCCTCACTAAGATTGTATGCACAGTATCTGATGTTTGGAATGATCTCTTCAACTCTTTGAAGATACATGCTGCATTGTTCCTCTGAGAAAGCCCCAGCTAGTTTTTCGTAGATAGTCCTACTCAATGTAAAATGGGCAAAAATGTTGAAGATCAGTGCGCTTGTAGACTAAATACTACAGGCCCCATAAAGATAATTTTCACATCTTTGTTAAGGTTACTTCCCACCTGTGAGTGTCCTTTGGGGAAAAATTTGTCATGATCCCTGGAATGTTTTGTTAAAATTGCACAAAAATTGGTCAAATCTACACACTCTATAAATTCACTTAAAGTGTAGGTATTCCTCTCAAAATTAAATGTGAGATTTTAAAGGTTAAATTCTTAAAGGTTCGCAAAAAACTAGTGCCACACCAGGAGATTCTCTTGCCTACTGAAACCGCAAACCAATGGGACAATGGGACCTCCTGACATCAATAACAAAGGATCAAGATTTTCCCAGGAAAGGTAATGAATTGCAGATATGTTTGTTATATCTCCATTACTTACTGGAGTGTTACGGCACAATGACAGGCAAACTAAAAACCCGCAGTAAAAATGGAAAAACCAGATAATGTGCTGGGAGACAAGACAACAAATTGACAGACCACTTTCAAAATTATGAATTGAGACAATTGTAAATGTTTTTGTATCAAGGCTGGTACTTGCATGAATAAAATAAACCTCATTTTTAACTTAATGTATGATAAATTTGGGTTTGACAGTGACTTCTTTGAAACAGATGGGGATGCTCGTCGTCTCGCTTAGGGGTGTAAATTTTGGATTTTGGTCTCGCTTAGGGTGTTCCAGGCAAAGTGCCACTATTTTAAGCCGCCAAGGTCTCGTTTAGGGTTCCGCGAAGAAATACAGAATTACGCAAAGAGAAACAGAAGTAAAATTTTCTTTTAACTTGTTTTGTTTACTGTATTACCTTAACATTAACTAGTTTTCTATTTACGAAGTGCCAAAGAGACAATGCATGAACATGAGCGTTCTCTTTTAGGGGTCAAAATTTGCTTAGCCACGCCCAGATGGTCTCCTTTAGGGGTTAAATTTAAAATTTCTGATGAGCATCCCTGTCTGTTTCATATGGGAGTTCCCCCCCCCCTGGGCTTCTTTGTTAGAAATCTGGACGCCAGCATGGGGCTGAGTACCAGTTGCTTTTACCACATTTTTTTTCTTTTCTGAACAGAATGGTACTCTTCTCTCTTTTTTGGGCCTGTTTTGTTTTGTTTTTTTGCCCAAGGACTTTTTTCTGCACTTGAATTTTCCATGAGCAAACATTTTTCGACAGATTTTTGTAAAGTATGCGATGTAAACAAAATATGCAAATAATATGAAGAGGAGTGGTTGCCGCAAAAATTCCCAAGGGGGGTTTGCAAGATTATGACACCTCCCTGATTCTTAATTTTTATTTGAAATTATGCTTTTCTAAATAACTTGGATGCTTTTGCAGATTTAATAATTGTTTTTTTGGAATGTTAAGTAAAATGTTTGACTTCAATTTAATCAAATAAAAGAAAAAAATGATTTTTTGACATCTGAAAGTGGGAAGTAACCATCTTAGCATTGGAATTCTTCCAATGCTAAGATCCTTGGAGATAACAGGGTTTTGCCAGAACAATGATATCAGCATTATATAAAATATTTAAAATAGGATATCAGGCTTGTCAACATAAGCAGGCAACTAGTGTATTTCACCCTCTACTTTGAAAAATGCACCAGTTATTCTGAAAGCTTCTGGCTCAGTTTCAGCATGGAAGCATGACATTAGATGGAAATACAACTGATCAGTGTTGCCTACTTTGCTTCACAGTGGGGTTACCCAAAATGTCTTTGACAACCCTGAGATAAACTTACTGGGCATGGCCAAATAATTCAAAAGCCTCCTTCCAATTCTGCAGCTCAAAACTGACACTGCCTTTCATGTAAGAAGCATAAGCCTGTTCACAAAGAAGATTAAATTTTCCATGAGAAAGAAAGCTGCAAGAACAGTATGTAAGACAACAGCAGGACTCCACTTACAGATCATAACAAAACAGCAAGTACAAAAAATGGAGATGTGCTCTGTCAAAATTAAGATAAGTATCCACTAGAACATTGTTGAAAGAAGGTGGGACAAAATGGCTGGATACCCCAACCCATTTAGGTCAGAATGATTCTTTATTATGGGAAGGGCTTTCTCCACCAGTAGCTAAAGGAGTAGGTGTCCACATTGGAGAGGGGCCCATTTGATAGAGGTCACACAATGAAGGCACTGAAGACACACTGACAGTTCTTAAGTCTCCTGTTACTAAATAGGTATATACTGCATCTGAATGTGCTAATGCAGTCAAACCTGTACTAAACAGCAGTGTATTTAGTGGTCACCCTGGGTTGGTTGTCAAAGCCCCACTTTTGGTTCCCCTTAATCACTGTAATTTTCACCCCTGAGTGAGTCCCAATAGCCTGTTTGTATTATCTTCTGCCTGCATTGAAAGATCGCTTAAAGTGGAACCACCCAATAAAAATAATCTTTTAAGTAAAATTTTCTCCAGGTTTTTCTTCCAAAATCAATGATATGTTTGAACTGGGTTTTGTACATGAAGTGGTCAATTATGTCCTAAAGTGATATTTTTCATTATGTATCAAGAAGTCAACCTACATGTATTAGGCAGTCCTCCCACCTTTCCCATAGTTCACCATTTAAAACAGGTTTGCCTGTATATAGTTTTTTGTATACAGCACAGTCTTGCAGAAGCTCAAACAAAAAAAAGGTTGCTTAAGGATGTGGTAGACCTTTGCGGGCTTCCTTTGCAAAAAACAAACTTAATGCGCCATTCAACTACAGCTGTATATATCAATGGAAAGGTTATGAAGTGCCCTATTTGGCAAAAATTATTTCATTTTAACAAGATCTAATTGTAAACCAAATGGGGTGCAACAATCCAAAATGGACGATGTTTCTTTGAGTGAATTAATTGCATATCAAATCTGACCACACATATAAAACTTCTGCACAGTTTCAATCCTGAGGGCTTGGTCTTCAAAACCATTGCTGTGCAATTTACCTGTCAAGTTTGCAGATCAAAATGTTACCCAAATATATTACATTGAAGGCCATAATTTGTTGAAAGAAGGCATTTTCGTGTAACAATGAAGGTTTCTTTTTGCTTCCAAAGTTTTCCCAACAATTCATGCCTTTGGGTGGAGAAGTCAAGTTATGCCAACACTCTGAAAGGCTTGTAATGCCGACCACCACTAGAAAAACAGAAGGGCCCTGTAGAGTCTCAGGAGACTCTCAACAAAAACATATTTTGTGGGAGGATATCTAACAGTTACCTGTGACAGATCTTTTGTTCAATTTTGATTCCAAATCTTTCTTTTTCAATTAAAAGAGTGGCTTAAGCATACCATGGCAAAACCTAATGGTTACTGATAATGCAAGCAGTGAAGATTACCTAAAAAACAAGTCTTGATCTGTTTTGTTGAGATTCTTTCACCATACTCCTAATTTCTTTACTTCTTGTGTGGACAGCTAGTGAGTTGACCATATTTTCCTTTAGGTTCTTATTGGCACCTTATGAAAAATTTCCCCATGCTCTGATAGGTTCCATGATTACTTTGATTTTGATCTTTCAGCAGTTGTTTGGAAAGCCCCCCTTGTGGTGATGTTAATTTAATTTGTAAGGTTACCTCAAAAAATTAAGTGATATACTGTAAGCAAGCAACCCTTTAAAAGTTGATTGTCCTATTTATGAAATAAACTTTGTGTAAAACTAAGTGTTACTAGAAGTGCTGGAGAACTTTTTAAGGGTATGCAAACTTTCAATCGATAAAAATGTTGTACCTGGGCCTCAAGCTTTGTTCTGGCATCACAGACATCACCAGAACAAAGCTCTTCTAACTGAGTAGCATGGCTTGCAGCCTTACGAAGTCTTCTAATGTAATGGAACTTTTTGCGTAGTTCAGTGTTGGCCAATAGTTTCAACTCCATTGCATGGCTCCAAGCTCTCTCTGCATCCATTAAAGGAATATGTAAATACCTTGAGAGAATAGAACAGAGATTGATGTAAAAGTTCAGGAAAATAACACTGTTCTGTGTTTGTGATGAAGTTCCCTCCTCTGTGCACCTCAATCCAATCTAAGGTTCATACAGATATGGGCTCATTTCTTTACCATCAATGACTTCCACTCTTGCATTGGTTTTCAGTTTTAAATTTTGTCAATGTCAGAAGAAATGAATCCAACAAGAAAATAAATGCTCAAAAGTTGTTTCTAAATCCTCATAAACCTGCCAATATATGAAAAAATATAATTCCTTTTTCATATTCAACCAGTCATTATTAAATAGCTACTTGTACTCTGAACTTGTTTTGTGTTTGCTAAATAAAGTTTACAAAAAAACTGTTAAGATTACAAAAGAAAGAAAAATTTCCTTCTTAAATGGGACATAATAGGCCTGTGGGCATTACCAGAGAAAAATGTGAACATTTAGACAATTAGAGCAATAACACTAGCTATCATTATAGGATGAACTTATTGAAAAGAGAGCCCTAAGGAAATATTGTTAATAATGATATGAACATCAAAATGAACTGCGAGACTTACTTGACATCTTTCAGCAGTTCCTGTGTTATTTTCTTTGCCTTGAATGTATTTCGCGAACCATGCTGAAAATTCAAAGTCTTGTACAATCTTCTCAACCTCCGTTGACAATATTGCCTGATAAGGATTGAGGATCAGCAATGATCAGCTAATTATAAATAAATATTACATCATTTATAAGTTGCAGTTCACTTTGAACTTCTCACACCCTATTTGTAACTGCCCATCTCTTTCCATCTTTTCAGAGAACTATATACATCAAGTAAATTTTAAGCAGCTCAGCACACTTGCCATTGTTTCATAAATGAAAAAGGGGGAGTTGCTTCAAAGGCATAGCTCAGAGTTATCCTTCTTTATCAGAATTACTGTTAACATTGGCTTATAAACTGCATTCACAGATAAGCTTCAACTTGAGTTTGGTAACTCAGATTCAGAAAAAGTTTTTTAAAAGAAAAAAAAAAGAAATCGCTAGTAGAGTCCTGAGAAAGTTTCTTTATTTTGGTTGTTTCACTGAATGTACATACACATTAAGTCACAAATCCTCACCAATAATGTCCATACTATAGTATGGACATCAAATCTACTGACTTACATGTAGACTTCTGTTTAATCTTACTCTGGTATTGTTCAACCTGTAATTTTTTTCATTCCTGTCAGATTTTGATTTAATTGATTTACTCACTTTCACCAGAGTGTGGTGAGGGTCGCACAACAGAGCGAAGCTCCTTATTAAGTGCGCCCTATATCCCACCCATCCCACCCCAGGGGAGGACATCCATCACACAGTAATCTCGTGTGTGGGAAATTAACGTCTCCTACCCCAACCCTGCAGGAGACGGGACCTCCATTTATTCGTCCCTATCCGAGAAGACTAGAATATCTAACCATTTCTTGATGTTATAGAAAGGTAGCAAATTCTTCTCAATTATTTTTAAGACCCTGAGTGTTGGTCCGGCCGGGGCTCGAACCCTCGACCTCCCGCACAGCAGTCCAGCGCTCTATCCATTTGAGCTAACCGGGAGGCGGATTTTCAATAAAGTT